GGATTGAGCTTCAGTTTATTGGCCCTCATCCAGCCCATTCCCTCAGCCAGGCACCGGTTCAGCACAGCCACTGCCTCACCTGGATTGGTGGAAAACGAGAGGTAGAGCTGGGTACCATCAGCGTACTGAAGATTCCGCAGCCCACACCTCCTGATGACCTCTCCCAGCGGTTTCATGTAGATGTTAAATAGCAAAGGGGACAAAATGGACCCCTGTGGAACTCCATGGCATAACTGCCATGGCGCAGAGCCATAGTCCCCCAGCACCACCTTCTGAAATCGGCCGTTGAGATAGCAGAACCACCGCCACGCAGTGCCTCCAACTCCCAATCCCGCTAGCCTATTCAGAAGGATACCATGGTCAATGGTATCGAAAGCCGCTGAGAGGTCCAGGAGAACCAACAGGGATGCACTCCCCCTGTCCTTCTCCCTGCACAGGTCATCGTACAGGGCGACCAAGGCAGATTCAGTGCCGTACCCGGGTCTGAAGCCAGACTGAAATGGGTCCAGATAATCAGTCTCATCTAAGAGTGCTTGGAGTTGTCCCACCACCACTTTTGCCTGCATTTGTCTGCGTTTTGCACTTGTTTGCTTTATTTGCAAGCTTAGAGGCCATTTGTGTGAATGTGCAGATGACAACTTGAGAATCTATCTTTACAAGTAAGCAGCCTGGATTTGTATGTGTGTGTACTGGGAATATGTTCCTGTTATTGTGAGTTCATTGGTTCCTGTAGTATATGGATGGCATATGGACATTTTAGCCAACAGAGTACCTATTTGGGTAGTGTTTCCAGGGACACTGAAAATATGTCTGCCTTTCTCCCTGCCGCTTCTGTATTTGAGGTTTAGTAGATTGTAGACTTTATCCTGGAATTCTAAAACTTGCTACTTAAAAGAGATAGATTCTACTAATTTCCCACACAAATCCGTGCCATAATAAGTGTATTAATCTGTAACATTCTACAAGAATTCTTTGCTATTCTTCATTTGAAATAATTACTAACTAAGATAGTAATGTGTGGTAGGAGGTGATCATCCTCCCCTCCAAAGCAGTGTGAGGTTGTAATGGCATACATGCCACAGTGGGGAGTTTTGCCACTGTTCATCTGTCATGTTGTCCAAACCCTGTTATGCTAGTTCGCTATGGCACACTTAGTCTTTAAAAGCCACGAACACAAACAGCAGTCTGTTCTATGGTTTCTTGGTACCGTCATGGTTTATTGTGTCATGCAACCCCAGGAAACTCTCTGGCAAGTGGGAGCAAGAAAGGGTGGTGAGCACCACTTCCTCATTGTTGCCATGACTTGCCAGAAAGGCACTTGGGTGGGTGTCAGGCTGGGGACGTCTCTCTCACAAGTGGGAGCAAGAAAGGGGAATGAGGAGGGAATCAGCCGAGTGGAACTGCCTGCCTCCAGCCAGGCATTGGCACCCAGGTGATTCTCCTCTCTCCTGCCCATGAGGGGCTACTAGTCATGTGTCTGTGTGGGGTCAATGGGGGAATCAGCTGAACGGTGCTGCTCCTTCCTGCAGCTCCAGCCAGCTGATTCCCCACCATTTTACCCGAGGGTGCCCCCACTCTGTAGTTCAGCAGTCTCCTCTTGAGCAGGAAGCAAGGGTGTCTGATCCTCTCTGCTCTGTATCTGGGCATGAGCCCTGTTTGAGCAGCAGAGACTGCCTGACAACTGTGGTAAGTCAAATTCGGCTCGCAATTATGACTGTCAAAGAAAGGAGCCTCATTCCTTCGTGTAGTATCTCCTGGAATGCTGCCTGGAGGAAAGAGGGAAGGAAGAGAATTACCTCCATAACTCTGATTGTCTGTCAGGTATATTGAGGTAAACGACGACGACGACAACAACAACAGTCATGAACTGTGATAATCACACAGGGGTCTTTGAGATGAGTGATTCCAGTTACTGTGTTTCTCTGTCTGCTTGAGATCTCTCTCTACCTTGCAGCATACCAACTATTCCAACCTGTTCAACAGCTTGTCTGGGCCAATTGCGCATGTGCAATAACCACAAATGTACACTGCCTCCCTGGAAAATGCATGGACCTCTTGGAGAGGGTGTGTGTGGGAAAGGATCCCCCAAAAGCTTGCTCTGATGCACCCAGCACAAAGGCTCATTGTCTCCTGCAAGCCAGAGTTAATGGGGAGGACTGAGCCACACTTATCCGTTCTGCCCTATATATGTTCTCTGCAACCAAGATGTGTGGTTGTTTCAGAAGATCATGCATTTTTATGACATGCAATCTTCTGCAAGAAAATAATATCCATATAGAAAATCTCACTGGTTAATGAAATACTCCAAAGGCTGAAAGGGTGTAATCCAGGGGTTCATGGATTATCTATATTATAAATACATCTTGTTTAAAGGACAAATATAAGATAGACCACACACCACAAAAACAGCCATGCTTATTAACACAAATTTTTTCTCACTCAAAGTCTAAGGTTCTGATTGGTCTTTTTCATGGGAAAGAATCAAATATAAAAAGGTATTCGTTTGGCGGGGGCGGGGGGGGAACAAGGGAAGGCAACAGTCACACAGAATTCCAAATAATATCAAGTCAATCTAATTTATTCAGTTACTTGGGTTCCAGAGCAGATGCAAAGTTAATTGCAGAAAGGATGGGCTAAAAGAAAGCATTTTGGCTCCAATTAGATATTATATTGAGGACTCATGAGGAGTATGCAAATTGTTATCTTTATGGGAATCTAAGTTCACTAAGAGCAGGTCTTTTAGTGGAAACTGATTGTTGTTTTTTTTTAATAATGTGATATCCTCCATTTCTAATGTCAGTGTTATAGCCAGCAAATCAGAAAATCATTTCATAGCAGGACTTCCTTTGGTAGTGACTCTAAACTTATATCTCAGAAGAGCCAGCCAGTTTGCAATAGTTATAAAGAGCTGAAGTTTTTGGTGAAATGAGCCTATTATGTCTCCACAGCTTCATGCTAACTTACCAGATGTTCTAGGTAGCAATGTCATGCTTCATCAGCTCTAGGGATTTGTCTCAGAAACCCTTTGTGTCATGATAATTAGTTAATGGCTGTCACTACCATAGTACCTTATAAAGCTCACAAGATTTTCAAAAAGGTAGAACAAAACAAGAAAAATCATAAAAAATGTGAAGGACAAGTTTAACAGTAGCAAATTGCCCTCTTTTCTGGTTTACAATCTTCCATCAGTGAGCTTCATGAGATGACCCTGGGTTCTTGAAGACTGAACTCACAGTGCTATTTCTATCTGATTTCTAATTTTCTATTTTAAAATGCCAACTTGCTTAATGTTTCCTTTGAGAACCTATTAATGTAGCCTCTCTACACTTGAAAATGTCCCAGGTTTTAAGCCAAGGGTGGACAGCACGTGGATGTTGTTGGATTATAACTTCTTCAAGTCACAGTTGGCTCAGCCAATGGTGAGGCATGTTGCGAATTGCAGTCTGACAACGTCTGATGTCCCAGACTTTCCCTATCCCTGTTCTAAGCCTTTGTTCAGAGGAAAAGATGAATCGTTCCTTTGTGTATTTTATGGGTCTCCTACTACACCATATCCAGTTCTATGACAATCTTTCTGAGATAGGAAAAGCAAATTGTACACACAGACTAGCATAACACAACACAATAACCCATGCTTAAGGGTGTGCTATGGACTGAGTGTGGGTTGTTGTTGAAATGTGGAATATTGTGTTGTCTGAATCCAACCATGATAACAAACAGTAATGAATAACCCACAGTTCACAATCAAACAACAAAGTATGGGTTCTCTTCATGGATTGTTTAAAGTTGATGTAGAGATGACACGGGCTTCTTTTAAAACACAGCACTCCCAGTTAGAAACCTCAGACTCAGAATGCGAACTATACAGAGAAGGAGAAGAGTTAGAATGCGGTACAGAAATGTCAAGGTTAATGAGCAGGATTTGTCAGCTGCTGAGAATCAAACCACCTCAGGTTTGGGTGAATGTGGGGAGATGCTCTAGAAAAGGGAGAGACTGAGCAGGAAGTATGTGAATTTATTAACCCAGTGAGCTGCTGCCAAGTCAGACAAAAAGCCCAATTAAGTAACTTCCAGCATTCCCATCATTTGGGCCACAAGCAGTGAGAACTTCCCTGAAGGTGGAGTCAAGCCTTTCAGGAAGGGAAGGGGTCTTCAGTTTGGAATCACTTGTTCACATGGTGTTCCCACAAACACCAGGGAATGTTACTCTGATACTATTTGAAGTATCACAAAAGCCCTGTCTAAATCAAATAAAAAACTATATTTCAATAACTTTCAGTTTAGATTTGCTGGAAAAGGAAAAGGGAAGAAACATGCTCATGACAGTTAACTAGCTATGGCTGTGTGTGCTTCAACAACAGCTCATGCTTCAAGAGGCATCCACAGACAATGCAACTCAACCCATGAATGTGTGCTATTGTGTTGCCTGAACCTGATCACAGAGGTCTAAATCTAGGTGCAATGTGAATTTATACAGTATGATTTTTATTTAGATTTTGTGATTTGTATGGTTATATAACATCTAGATGAATCAGTTTATATTAAAACATGTTTTTTGTCCTAATGTGTCTCATTACACTGAATTGCAGTACACTGTCTCATTACAGTGTACTCTTACACTGAATTGCATTTCACTTTGCCTTGTTTAGGTAGTACAACTGTTCTGATTAAGTTGTTTTCATAAAGTTTCTATAGAGAATATGTACTTTGATTCTAATCACACTTCCAATATGAACTTCCTGGGGGGGGGGGCGGTTCTGATTTAAATATTTTCAATTCCAGTATTTTAAAAACTACTTACATAAAGAAAATTATGCTTGGAGTTGACCCACTGAACTAAATGTCAATTTAATAATCAGTAAGTCCCATTGATTTCAATTAACCTACTGTAATGTTGACATATCTGAATACAAGCCAGTATTAAGATATACACAGCTGAAAGTAACTTAAAATAGTAGAACATTTTGCATATTTTAAATAATATTGCTATTTTAATACAGAAAAATCTGTCAGATATTGAGAAGAGTTTGAAAGGTTCAGAACCTACATCTCAGACTCAGACCAGAGGGAAAAAAATATTTATTCAAGATATAGAAGTCTCAGACGGTGATGAAGGACAAGGAGGCGATGAAGGAGAAGATGAAAGTGGCGGTGGAGATAAAAGTAATATTAAACATTTGATTTTCTTTTCATTGGAAAAGTATGGAGCTGACTCTAAAATAGTTTAGAGAAGGAACATAGGAAAATGCCTTACATTGAATGTTGCATAATTCATTTGTGCATCTTGCTTAGTGTTTTGACAAAACTGGTTGTGACTTCCCAGGATTTCAGATGGCAGTCCTTCCAACAGAAATTGAACCTTGATCCTTCAGTATGCAAAGTGCACACTCTGCTACTGATTTAAGTTTGAGAACAGGTGACAATGCACTGTATTTCTGTATGCCACATTTTCCTTTAAAAAGCTTTCACAACACCAAACAGCTTTTTGAATTTTGGAATTCAATAGACATTTGTCCATAGGGCAGCTTCTAAATAGGGAATTCTAAATAAGAAGTGACCATATGTTTTTAGTTTAAAAGTAATAAGCTGTATTGCCATTCAAAAGCACTTCTTTAAATAATGATGCATTTTATTTTTAAACTGGGTATATTGTTTTGCTCAGAAAACAGACAAATTATTATTCCTGAAGGTGACACTTCAGCCTTTTGCTATCTCTTTAAAATTTCATTCCCGTTGAAAAGTTTATTTCACTTCTGACAGAAAATGAGATAAGCCACATGCTACATCCACTTAACCTGCTATGCATTTCATTGCCTGAGTATTCATCAGGCGCCTAAAACTGTCTCTGGAACAATTATATTCTCTTTTTCAATGAATGTTTATTCATTAATCCTGGAACAGAAGATCTAATTTACTATCCTGTGGTTCACTGCAGTTAAGAGGTTGGTCTTTATCATGATCTAAATGGCAAGACTTTTTCACATGAAAGGTAAACAAAAGTCCATAGTTTTTTCTTCAGTGGACATGGATCAGTATATGTCATTTTCCATATTATGTGATGCAAAAAATCTTTTTGTATCTTTTTTATATCCTCTGTATTTTTTCTTTTTGTATCTTTTCTATATTTCTGTCAAGGTAAATTGAAACTGTGGCTTGAAACGCACTTATGATTGTGCTAATCACAGCAGCTTTCCAAGTTGAGCATATAGCACTTAAAAGGTTAATTTCAAGGTGAACAGTGTGCCGTTCAGAAGAGGGTACTGCCAATTCTTAAAAAAAGGAATTGATTCACAATATTGAATTCCAACTGACAAATCTTACATACTTTCGATTTTCTGCTATGCCTTCTGGGAACACATGGCAGTCTTGGATTAAGTTCATTTCAGTAACTATACTGTTTTGTGCATTTACGCATACATTTTCTTAGTCCACCCCTCCTTTGCTTTTACAATAGTTCCTTCTGGTGATGCAAACTCTAACCTAGCCGATTAACTTCCTTATAGAATCTGTTGTGCCAGTGGGAGGAGAGATCACAAGTGAGAAGTCTGAAATGGGGAATGCACAAAAGAAGTTCCCTAGCAAAGGAGATGGCAGTAAATCAGAACACAAGGAAGCCCAGAAGCACAGAGACCCTTCAGAGAGCAAGGCTAGAAAAGGCACACCTGACAAAAAGACACACAAAGTTGTGCAAAATTGTGAACGTGAAGGAAACGGCTCCCTAAGCAATGGTAGAAATAATAGTGAAAACAAGGAAGTAAAGCCGAAGGATGCGGAATCTTCATCAGCTGGCATATGCAGCTCTACTCTGCTCCCTACGACTGCAGCAAAACTGAAAGCTGAAGGAAATGAGTTATTTAAGAATGGACAATTTGGAGACGCTGTGCTCAGGTATACAGAGGCCATTGAAAATGTCGTCAGTTCAGGTGAGTTGAGCAATACATTCATATTAAAGGGTTAAAATTGTTCTGATGGTAATTCTGAAATAGCCATAAGGAGAGTTGGTGTCTCTTCCCCTGATTTGGGTCCCCCACCCCCCGAGAAGCAGATAGAAAGCTCACTTGCAATGAATAAGCAGCTGAGGGAAAATATGTAGTAACAAAGTAAATTGGATTTTTCCATACTGGTTTCACAGTAACTGAATTATGGCTGCATATCAAAATAGTAGGATAGAGGTGCTATACTAAACAAACACAAGATCCTTGAGCTACTGTACTGTAATGCAACTTGCATCCTAATGAAATATTTATTTTATACTAACAACATTTGATTTCAGAAATCACCTTTCACTATAATTATATGTAATTTTAGGAATCCAAAGTCCAGAGGATCTAAGTATTTTGTATTCAAACAGAGCAGCATGTTACCTAAAAGAAGGAAACTCTGTTGACTGCATTCAGGACTGTAACAGGTAAATACAAGCTTTGGCAGAGGAACAACACTTCCCATAATTATGACAGCATTTGAACTGGTTGCTACATTTTTACACAGTTTGGAAAGTGTAACACCTATTAATGTGCGTAAATTAGAAAAACATGCTGTGAATCCCTCACTTGAAAAGGAAGAGGAAGGAGGATGAATAAGACAGCTAATACTTTGCCAAGTTCTAGATCTGAATGCAAAATTAAAGCAGGTTCATTATGGAATCACGGGCAAGTTCATAGAGCTGTTTCTGCATAAATTTCCCATTTGATAGCTGAACCTAAAATTATGGTTGCTATTATCAAGAAAATGTACAAGGAATGGGATTATAATTACAAATTGTGTTGCAGTAGTTTCCAGAAACAGACATGTAACCTTGGTCTGTAAGTATGATGCAGTATAAAGTACTCTAGGGTAAGCTGATGCCTTCAGTCTCTTCTCTCTACTGGAACATGCTGCATTAAGCATTGCTGATATTTCTAAAATGACTTCTGTTAGCAATGTTATTAATTGACATCTAATGACTCAGACTTTAGAAGTTTGCCATTCCTTTATATCCACAGCTATTCAAGCCTTGCTTTATGGGCTGTAAAAATTGTTAGATGATAAATGTACTACGTTAGAACAGTAATACTGACACCTCCTGATTTAATAAGCATTTTTCAATAAAATTATTATTCTGTGCAAATGCTCTAGGTGAAATAGAGTTGATAATTAATAGTTAACTTCATGGAATTATTCATTTAGGTATAAGAGTTCCCTGCAAAAGATCATTTGCTATTTTGGATCTAGAGAATTAAAAAAACAAAATAGGTAGGATGGGATCTCTTTTTATTGAGAGTTTCTGTTGGTTTAGAACTCCTGAAGCTACAAAGACATTTGTAAGTTACCAAAGACTTTTCATGGAACAGAATCGACAGATAGTTCAATCTTATTTGGAAGCTCTGTAAGACTGTCCTGCTTGGACTGCCCTTGAGAGAACAAATGTAGATGAATCTTTATTTACTTCTAAGACTGGCTGACTGATAATACATTCAGCAGGCTATAACTACTGTCTTTGCTGGGTTGGATCTGGATTTTGTTGTGCTTGGACTAGACCCATTGAAATCCATGGTTAATTATTACTACCACATGTGCTATTGATTTCTGTGGATATACTCTAAGTATATCTAAGCCTGGTTCCAACTACTGGGTGGGCTTGTACATCATGCTAAGGCACCCTGAGAATAAGCTACCCAATGTGAGTTGTTTACAGAACAGCCCACAGCATGCCTGAAGGATGACTGGCCTTGCTGTGGCTTGTTCTGCCACTCCTTCCTCCTCTGTCCGGCTTGTTCTGGTGCATATCCCAGGAACCTGTGTGATGGAAATGGGATTCTGTGATTCCTTGCTAAGTCAGCAGTATTTGCATTATTGTTCCATTGTATGTTTAGGGTATGTTTTGCCTTTGTCAGCTTTCGTTGAAAGTTTTCCCATCCCTTCCATAGCCCATCCCTGCTGCTACCTGCCTGTATTTCTAGCAACTGTAAACCTTTTCATGTCCCTTTGTGTTTTTTATTAGTACATTGCTATCTGATCCTGTTCTGTTCACCCAGGGTCTTTTTCCCACCTTCCCTGTCTGAAGCTGCTCATGCCCCATATGCCAGCTCTTCTGCTTTCCAACTCCTTGGTAGTGGTTTATTGTTACCACCCCCCCCCTTCCCCAGATTTGTGGGTGAAGCTGCTTTACTCGCCTCCCCCCTGCCTTTATGATGTCAGACAGGGGAACCTGATTAAGCTTGTGCCATCTTCCCCCCACCCCTCACATTCTCACTTCTTAGTCCAACTTCTCAAGCAGTTTTTCTACTGGAGTTCCTCCTCCTCTTCCTCCTCCCACAACCCATACAGCTATGCTTCAAGAACACCACAATGTGTTGTAACTCCAAAGAAGCAGCAACCATATTGAGAAACCATATTTGCTGTCTTCCACTTAAAGGTCAGCTCAAAACTGGCTTTCCTTTGGAGGGTTGTATTCAGCATGGCTTGTATGTGGGGTGCTCTTGGGACGGGTTGCTGGTTTTAAATGGGGAATGCAAGGAACTGAGATACCAGCTTGTGGAGCAGGATGTGATTTATAAAACAAGGTTCTGGGAGACAATGGAGGAAGGGAATTTTCCTGGGAACTATTGTACTTTAACAGATGCTTAAAAAGAAAAGATACTTACATGGCACACTGGGGGAAGGCTACATTATTTTAGCAAGTATAGCATATGCTGTTGAGAAAGGCACTTCTGTGGTTGTAAGTTCTTCTTAGTGATGGTACACAGGGAGGTAATGGTCCTGATCTACTCAGAGATAGTTGGATTAGTATTTCAAGTTTCCTCCTGAGTCACTAATTTGGATGTGAATTCCAGGCATAATTTTCAGCACTTGGTTCTAGCAGTTCATGCCCCCTTGCAGATGTGCAGATTGCAGCAAGCAGCAATGACATCTGGTACCCACCACCACCTTTTCCACTAACAGACTTTCAGCACTAACAATACCAGCTTCCACCCCATGCAACGTACCCCTAAGTGTCTCAGTCAAAGGTGTCCAGTTCCCATACCTCTGCTTCCTGGTTCATCTCCTTTCCCAGCAGCTGAATTGGCATGAGTTGTGTCTGCTTCCTCCACTGCCCTCTACTTTGAAGGGAATTGTGGCAAAAGAAGTATTTATTTATTCTGTGAGTGACTCTGCTGTGAAAGCCCTCAATTATCTCTACAGCGTGCAGCACAAACTCCTCAGTTGCCATTGCACAGCACCTGCATCTAATGGCTCTGCTGCTTCTACACACTGCCAGTGGAGGTGAGGGGACAGAGCGGAGCTGTGTAAGAAACCCTTTTCAAGCTGGTGGTATGGTCTGCCAGCTGCATTTTGTCTCCATGGAAGGGGACCATCATGCTAGGGCTGCTGTTGCCTTGGTAGAGCTAGATCACTACAGCAGATATGCTGTCTGCCAGTAGTGACTCCTGCCCACAAAAGTTGCATGGATATCAATTCCTGACATGGATACTTTGGATAATGCCAGATTTAATGGTCTTTCTGGTAGGTGATCTGCTATAGGGCCCACTGGAAAAACTGGCGGGTGAGGGACATATTTATACATAGGAGAAAGAGGACCAGGAGCATTAGGGAGGGGAAGAAACTGTTGCTGTGGCAACAGTAGGGATAGATATGTATAGAGCTGTCCCACAAGTAGCTTTGCACTGTTGCTTGCAAAGCTGCTGTCAAGCTTTGAAGCACGTCCATTTGCCTGTCAGTGACAGCAGTTGGATCCCTCATCATTCAACCAAAGTCATGGTCTAAGGCTTCCGTGCCTTCATGCACCAATGTATACATGCTGTTAGCTCTTGTCCAAGCTGACCAGATAGTCAGTAGATGCTTACTAATTCTTTGTTTGTTTCCTCTCTCTCGCTCTTGCTCTCTCTACTGGTCAGGGATTTTTCTTAATACCGAACAGTATAGAAGTAGCACAAATATATCAAATAAGTATATTCCTGCTCATTCTTTTCCTTGAAAAGTCTATATGTATGTTCTTCTGCCACTTGAGTAGCACTGAACAAGTACCTTCCAAGTTGCACCTGGCTGATTTGAGGAAAGTTACAGAGGTGTGATGCTCACCAAGTGTTGGTTAGTAGCATCTCCTCTGCTGGTCCTCTGGACTTTTCCATTACTGGTCTCAGTTGCTGTGCTGGCTGTACAGATTGCACTTTTTCAGGTACAACCGTGCTTTTACTTGCCCCCTCCCTCCACTTCTTTGCTGGAAATGCTGGTGAAAAAGGCATTACTTGGCTTTGTAAAGAGCATACCAGGTTGAAGGCTGGAGGCAGTGGGAGCACCTGCAACAGTTAAGGAAGAAGTGTACCCCTTTTCAAGGGACAGGTGCCTGGATATTGCAGGTGCAAATGCCCTGATGTCTTGAGGGCAAATCTCCATGCCTTCCTCATGGTGGTCCGGCTCTGACTTCATTTCTCTTGGGAAAGTACTGCAGATTGCATTCTGAATGGGTATGCCCAACTTCTGGGCGTTTCTGGGTATACATGATGTGTGGTTGTCAGCCTGGTTTCTTTTCTCACAGCAGAAGGAAAATATGCTAGACTGCTAGTTCCAGAGCAGTACATTGCTGGCAAACATGTCCCTGAAGAGGGGAAGCCTGGTTGCTGGGGAAGCAAGTGTTGACTGACTGCTAGATCAAAGCAGAATACTTTTTGGGGCAGCCCAGGATCACAGACTCTTGAAATAATTTTAGACAGTGGAGACCCGTGTCAATGCATTAGGGCACTTAGAATGTCTCAGTGTGCCTGGAGTTGGGAGGGGCAAGTCATGGCTTGGAGACTGGCAACCAGTGTGCCAGTGAGTCCAGAATCGTGCTGCCTACAGTGCATCATGTCCCTCTTACCTAGCAAGTTGGCAGCAAGCTTGTAGAATGCCATGGGGCATAGTTCAGCCCCAGACTGCTTGTTGTGAGTTGTGATTCCCTTAAATCTTTTCTTTAGCCAGTGTAGCTTCTCCTTGCACTGCACAGTGGTGCAAGAGTGACATCTTCACAGTAACATCCATAGTAGCAGAAAACCAGGAGAACAGATGATTGTGCCTAGTGCTCCAGAGATCTCTGAATGTGCCTAGGTCAGCCACACTCCAGAAGTATGCCTGAATTCTCATATGCTGTTCTTTTCCCTCTGACTCAGCTGTGAGCCCAGGTGCATCATGAGCCAAGAGCTGCAATGCTTGAGGGATCTTGTGAAAGGGGGGCAAATGACTCTGGAAAGCAAACTTTGCCGAGTGTAGCTGCTAAAGTATCTGCAGCAGCTGTTTCTGAGCTGAATACTAGTTTGCCAGCACAAGAAGGAATTAGGAGAGAAATAAATTAAGACTCCAGGACCTAGGAAGAATTGGCTATCAATGATGAGAACATTTCATCAAAAGGGTGGTGTTAATATTGGTACTTATCCACTGAAAACAAATGCAAAGCAGGTTTACACATAACAATGTGTTAAAGGATTGTACAAATTTGTACAATAATAACTCACAAATAATTGTGTAAGTTACATTTTTTTCAATTAAATATAGGATTGTTGCTTGTTGAATCCTTTGGGAAACTTTACTGTAGGGGTGATGGAGGAAGATCAAACTGAAGATTCTGCTGGAGCTGGAAGGATAACCAACTCCTTCAAGGTCACTATGCAGATAACACACAGCTAACATACAGGAGCAAGAAAAAACTACATAGCTAACAAGTGAAGCAGTGAAAGACCAAGAAAATGGGGGGGGGGAGCTGCCAAAAAAGGAGGGAATAGGCCACCGTAGTTCAATATTTTGCTAAGCACAAGTCAGAAAGCAAAAGTGTTAGAAAACGAACGGTGGTGCTTTTGACTGTTCATGCTCAAAGGCTCAGTGGCCACTTTTCGGCAAGGCACAATGACCTTGGTATTGTGGGTGCAGACAACAAGGCAACTCATTAAGAGTGTGATAACCCCTAAGACAAGCTATGGATTAGAGCAAGACAATAGAGCTAGGGATGTGTGGGTTCTGCATTCATACTGTGCAAGTTCAGAAATTGGTATCTAGCTAACAATTCAACCTGAGAACCTCTATGAAGCTATGAAGATAAAGTTGAAATATCAGGACAATGTTAGTGAAGTGTTTGAAGCAGAGAGCCGGCTGAGTAGGATTTCCACGGGACAGGGCCTGGGTTTTAGTGCCTTAGGTAACCCTTTCACCTTATAGTTGACAATGAAAAAAAATATGCATACTGAAAAAGTATTTCCAAATAGTTTTACCTTGCATACTTTATACATACAAAAGTCTACAGCTTGTTTTGGTATAAAATGTTGATTTGTAATGCAGAACTGTTTGGTGTTGCCTGTACTCTTACATAAGTGCTTAACATTCTTTGTGGTTATTCTACTATACCGATTGGCAACTTGTAGGTCAAAACAGTAGGAGAGCCACAGTTCCCATCACAGTTTTTTGCTTCCTTTCTACAGATACCATTTCTAATATAGTTGTCAAGATTACTGTTATGATAGATTGCAGAAAGACAACAATAGAAATAATTACCTGTTACATCCTTATTGCATTAAATGTTCTGCAGCTACAATAAGAAATGTAAGATATAAATGTAGGAACTTCTTTATGCAGAATAACCATTAATCCTCTGTGTTACTGATCTGCTACTAAGTAACACTTGGCTTAAACTGTTCCTGATCACCTAATTAATAAGCTTTCCAGAAGATGCCCTAATGTAAAAAATAAACGCAATAGTAATGCTCCATCTGGTACAAACTTTCATTCCCCCATCTAGATTTAAGTTAGGCTCATGATTAAAATGAGAGATATGCGTATTTATAACCATGTTATAAATCTACATGTTTTCCTTGTGTTTATTCTTTCTTTATCCTTGTAATACTTGTAATAATTTCTGAAAATTTTTCCTTAGTGCACTAGAACTTCAGCCATATTCTCTTAAACCTCTTCTACGTCGAGCACTGGCCTATGAGTCCATGGAACGGTATCGACAGGCATATGTTGATTATAAAACAGTATTACAGATAGACAGTGGGATCCAAGCTGCAAATGACAATGTTAACAGGTAAATATAAGATTTATATCGAACAGTAATACTTCAGTCTGGAGCAATCGGGAGGGCTTGTGCAGGTGCAATTGGCTTGCAGTGCTAGTATAACTTTTGGTTTGTGATTATGCTACTGCAGGGGTTGCTAGGTCTACCCTGTACTTATTTACTTGTATCATACATTTAAGATTGTTTCTGAAGTAAGATAATTTGATTTTTTTGCTTTATTTATCTTTTTCTTTCAATAATTTTAGTAACTGTAATTACTTACAATCTAAACTCTTGCAGAATTAGGAGTGTCTAAGGGTACAATCTTATGCCCTCCCAACATAGTTGTTAAATTGTTTAGTTCTAGTTATTGCTTAATTGGAATATTTTATTGTCACTTTTTGATATATTTTATTATGTTCTAGATTTTATTGAATGTAAACCATTCAGAGAGCCAATATGGCTGAGTGATCGGTATACATTTTTAAATAAATAAACAAATCATTTGGGAACCCATAGGGTTAGTCAAAGTCTCATCTCTAAAATCTTGCTGTCTCTGGTCTCCATGGCCAAGCTCCCACTCTACCCCAACTCATTTGCAGCTGGCATGGAAGGAATTGGGCTGGTCCCTCTCAGGAGAGGGAAAAGGGAGCGTGCCAGGGCAGCAGAAAGGGGAGAAGTCTGATTATGCCTGTTATTCTTGGGATCCCTGCCTCCTTCCTTTCCTGGCACTTTATCCAAACCACTGAAGATGTTCATCTAGATAAAATGCCCTGCACACGGCATGGCAATGATTGCTGCTAGCCCACTTCGAACTAGGCCCAGGATGCATGTAAGACTCCAAGTTTTGACGCTGTACCTCAAGGCCATGAGGCATAAGCTTGGGTCCTAAATCTATTTAAATAAAAATTCTTTAGTCCATGTTAATCTGCATCAGATTAGTTGGACTATAAGGTGGAGACCTTGCTATATTGTTCTATGCAAATATTGTATCCAGTCGAGTGAGTACAAAATCTAGACCACAACTAATCTGTATCATCCTAGTTTTGATCCTGGATAAGTAAGCACTCTAGCAGGACAAAGTGAGAGGAGTTAACTTGTCCTAGCTTTGTCTACCAGGTTTTTCACTTCAGTGGCAATAGCTATTTTGCTCTGGAGGGCAGGAAAATAGAGTAGCACCAGTCCATTGTGATACCATTCCATTGTCATCATGTCTGGAAATGTCCTAATTTATATGTACATGATGGTGAGCTGAAAGAATTGTGGCTTCGTGAACCAACTAGCCTACTGCCCTACCCCAATTCTAAGAGTCTCACTGCATTAAGGTGACAGAGTTTCAGGGATGGTTTCAGGGCTGGTATTGGAGTCTTCAAGTTGATGCTCTTGTGGGAATTTGACAAGGATTGGGTTTGGTTAGATTAAAAGGCTTGGCATCCCCTTTTCTGCAGCACCTCATGATTTGCTCTGTGTCAGTCATGACTTAGTTTCAATTAATAGTAATTTCTTAACTCTGACAGGTTATTGGACAAAATGATGGTATTCTGGGTAACTTTTTATCATGAACAGATCACTTATCTAGTAGGGTTTATGTCCACTGGGCCCTTTTACTCTATAGGAGTGGGGAACCATGTAGAAAAGTCTGCATTCCAAATTTACTTTGAAAAGAAAATGCTAATTTTAGTCTTCTGTAGCTGTTTGCTGCTGAAATCTTTAGTAAACTGTCAATTTTTGTGCCACAGCCATGAATTTTCGTGGTAGTACATGTTGCAAGGAACAGAAACTGCCCACCTTGTGTACTTTATGCATAAATTCATTCACATCTGCTCCAAGCTGGATTGCACAGCATGACAGTTCTTCAGTAATTACCTAGGGCAGGGCATGGGCAACTTGTGGCCCTTCAGAGGTTTGGCCTACAACTCCCATGATTACTCTCCATTGACTTTGCAGACTAGGGCTGATCAGAGGGAGGGAAGTCAAAATTTCTGGAGGGCTACACATTGCCCACCTCTGACCTGAAGCCCTCAGTCATTCAGGAGTATAGGACTAATGAATTTAAGTGGCTGGGAGGCAGATTTTGGATGAAACATAAAAATCTTCCTAACAAAACAGACAGTGGAGGCAATTACCTAGAAAGGTAGTAGGTTTTCCATTGCTGGAGGTATTCAGAGACAGGACAGCTATCTGGGTAATTTTAAACTACTTGCAGTTCTGTGATTCTGAATGGAAGTGGATGATCCAGTGCACATAGTTTTCTTGAACTTAAAAAAGGCTTTTGACAAAGTCCCTTACAAAACTCCTGAGTAAACTGAACAGTCATGGGTTGAGTAGAGAGCACCCCTTTAATAATTGGTAATTGGTTAAAAACAGAAAATGGGAATATATTGTCAGTTCTTGAAATGGGGATATAGACAATGGGATTCTTCAAAGGTTTGTATTGGGTCTAGTGCTTTTAACATGTTTCTGAATTATCTTTAATCAGAAGTGAGCAGTGAAGTGGCCAATTTTACTGATGACATCAATTGTTTAGTGTGGCTAAAGCAAAAAGGAACTTTATAAAATTATCTCTCCAATTGGGAGGATTGGCATTAAAATGTTCAATGTAAACAAACTAAGCTGATGCATACTGGGGCAAAAACAAAAACAAAAATCTCAATTTTACATACACAATGACTGGATCCAAGCTGGTATCAACAGATCAGGAAAAAGATCTTGGAGTTGTACAGAATAGCTTAATGAAAATTTGAACCCATTGTTTGACTGCTGTGATAAAGGAAAAATTCATGTTGGGCATAATTAGAAAAGGAATGGTATGACCACTTGGATTACTGAGCAGAATTCTGATCAGTACTCCTCAAAAAGAACATTATGACGTTAGAAAAGGTAGGAAAGGGCCACTAGAATGACCAAGGGGATGTAGCAACTCCCTGTAAGGAAAGTTATACTGACTGGACCTCTTAACTTTTTAAAGACACAAATAAGAGGTGATCTGATTGTGGTGTACCAAATTATACATGACGTGGAGAAAGTAAACAGACAGGTTTTTTTCTTCCTCTCTGAGAATATTAGAACCTGGAGACACCTTATGAAGCAACATGGTGGGAGATTTTGGAGAGAGAAAAGGAAGAATCTGCATCAGTTGCTGGGGGACCCTATGGAGCAGAATTTTGTGGGACATGGGCTCTAGAGTAAGGAGAAAGGGGGAAAAATTCTTCTGTGCCAGTAGGTTTTTGCTTGTGCTATTCTGTCCTTTTTACAAGGTTATATTTGGAATATTGTGAGAGTCTAAAGTTTCAGTAACATTACGTGTACTGTTTTGATCCCATGCATGTGCAATGACAAGCCATGAGATGTACACAAATGGAAGAAAGCAGATATGCTGCTTCCATGTACCTTCCGCTTCCATTTTTATTCAACAATTTGTGATCAGCTCATTCAAAGGATGCTGAATATTACATGTGAACCCAGAGTGATAAGTTGTTTAGGGGCTAAATCACCCAATGGTTAACCAATGATTTGGTGTTGAATTAACTGTGTAAATGCTCCCTATCCGCTCCTGCAAGTGCTTTATTTAGTTCATGGCCCACTGTTTCATGTGAACTGGCCCTTTAATTTTGCCCATTATTCAGCACACTGCATCATACAGCATCAACGCTTTTTGTTTTCATGTGCTCTTTTTTTCAAGTGTACATTTATTATAAACCATACAGAAGTTTAGTTTGTATTCTAGGTCAGAGTAGACTGTCTTTAGTCTTCTGTAATCTCCCTCTTTTAAACCTACAATCTCCTTGATTCACTGAAGTCTGTGAAATCTTTTAAGGCCAGAGTGCATATTTAGCATCTCTAATAGTTAAAGTATAACTAGTTTATGTAAATGCAATGCTAAGTATGCATTCTTGTTTAACATCAAGAAATGTCCGTTTGCAGGCAGTCTATCATGAGATCTTCCACTACAGGCTAGTGGTTTTTCTGTAGTACCTTTTGCTAATCTCCTTTCTAGGCAATACACTTTCCTTGAATCTCAGAACTAAGGTCACCTTTTGTCTTAAGTATTATGAAGTCCAGCTTCATATATAAACCATTTGATACTTAAACAGGTATACACTTCCATTGCTTCTTGAATAATGCACAGCAAGTCCATCACTTTGTGAAAAGTACATTATAATGTGGCTATAGGCTGTATGGAAATTAAATACATATATAAATAAATATTTGAGTCCACCTTTAAACTCTACTGCTGCAGAAAACATATGTATTTGTTTAGATACACAGAGAATGTTTTTCTCAGCATTATGAGAAGTGGTATCTTTAATTGTCATGGGAAATGGATAACATAACTTGTATTAGCATAAACTTGGATTCTGTGCTTTTCTTTTTACATATGTATTTAGAGACTTTCAGAATTGTCCAAAATTCCTTCTGGTTGCCTGTTGCTTCTTTAAAATTGCCTCTGTTTTTTAAAATCTTAACACAATGACTTTTCCCCCCTCTCTAGGTCTTATTTATGCTTTTTGCTTCACTGCTTATTACTCCTTCCTTCCTGGCAATCCATCTCCTTATTTCAGCTGCTTCCTTCTCTTCTTCCTCCTCTTCCTCCTGCTGGTAATTTCTTTTCAGCTTGCAAAGTATTTTTTTCTGGACTGTATCAAACAGAATTAAACTAAATCAAAATGATGTATAAACCTTGAAACCAAAAAAAAAAAAAACCTTTAAGGGCTGTTGAATTGGTTTCCTATGATGTCACTTCTGAGTTTCTTTAAAAGAGCTAGTAAAATTCTCTTAGCCATGCAAAATAAGTTCTGACTGTCCTAAGGTTAATTTGCTTAATTGACTCAAGTAGTCTGTATTAAGCCTCAAAGAGAAAGCAGTTCAGCTTTGCCTTTTAGCTTGTATTTGGGTATTTCTGAAGTAACATATTGAACAGTCAGTGGGAACTTTCTAAGCAAGGAATGGGTATGTATAATGGACAAAAAAGACAAAAAACCATGCAGGTCTCTGTAAAAAGAGAATATGATTTAGATTGCATAGTAGCTTTAATTTACCCATTTTCAGAATAATTATCCAGTCAGTTTACTGCAATTTTAAAGTGGTCACAATTGATGGAGGAGAAATATTTGTTTGTTTGTTTGTTTGATTGATTTTTAGGTTAACAAGAACTTTAATAGACCAGGATGGTCCCAACTGGAGGGAGAAGCTACCCCCAATTCCTGTTGTTCCTGTTTCTGCTCAGTTGCATTGCTGGGGTGGAGGAACTTTCACTTCGGAGATGGAGCAAAAAGAAACTGCAGCCAATCTTGGAGAGCAACAGTCACAGATTCTTAGTATGTGTCATGCATTATAGTGTGTGTGTAAACTCACTGGTGAACTTTTACTGAAACAGCATTACCCATATTTGAGGATTTGGCTTGGTAGCCAAAGAGCTGCAGATAGTGCTTCCATGCATGCTGAAAGTCTTTACACGCATGGAGCAATTCTCAAGCTTCCCATCATCTGCCACTTCCTGTGCCCACACATCTCTTCCGAAAGCTCATCCAGAAAATCAGAACGCATTTGGAGCTGCCTGGCACAGTTCAAAGGGCTACAGCCAGAAGCGGGGAATTGAACAGCCTGCTGTGCATAATATCTGGCTGTGTGTGTATGCGCAAGATTCTTTGCATCTCATACACCATCACTGAGCTATCTTCACAGTTCTAATACAGACTCAGTAGAAACTACAAGAGGGCATGCACCTTGTATTCTCACCGTGCAGTACTTCCCTGCTGTGTTACCTAGTCGAAACAGGCTGAAGAGCTGGGCTGGCTGATCTGAACGGAGCACTTCATTACAGTAGAACTGGAAATGGATAAGGAGTGAATAGGCTTTTGACTTAATACATAATAATTATGGCACCTGTACTCTTTTTAAGGCTACTGTAAGCTGTTAAGCCTTCAATTAGGCCCTTTCTCTCCACTCTCCCCCTTTATCTATTTTCAACTGACTCCGTCAACATTCAACAGCCCAAGTGTCCCTTACACCCATAGATTGAAACGCTAAATTTCCCTAACAATTTGACTAATGGTTCCTGTTGCCCTCCCTCCAATATTTTCCATAGGGTGGAAGTGAGACTATAGAAAATAAGGGGCACTTCTAGGATTTAAGATTGTCGTACTGGGCATCAGTGCGCTTATACATACACACTGACCTAAATGCTGCACAGTGAGAGGGGCATTTTCATTGCTGTGTATATGAACAATTGCTCAGATGTGTGTGCATGGGGGATGAAAAAGAGTAGGGTGCGACTTGACCCCACACATTGATTGTTTTGGTTCCACCTACTTTTGTGGGATATGAAGGTTCCCCATCCCTGCTTTTGGGAATAAAGACATACTTGATGAATGACAGGCTTGCTTTCTGAAAGCCACAGACTGGGTGTAGGAAGGTTCTCTCTGCTCAAGATTACTGTTACTGAATGACATCTCTTCATCTGTGCTTGAAAATAGGTGAAAATCCAGAAGAGAAGTTCAAGGATCTTAAGAACAAGGGGAATGAATTTGTGAAAAAGGGCAACTATGAAGAAGCACTGAAAAAGTACAGTGAGTGCATGAAGCTAAATTCCCAGGAACTGACCATCTACACTAATAGGTGAGATCTTTAAAACTCTGTCAGCTTTGAATGCAGACATTCAACTCATTAGGTGCTTGGTTAACATAAAAAAACTGATCACAGTTCCAAGCAATCTTGCATATGCACAAAAGCTACTTCCCATGTTGCACTTTTGTTATATCCATGCCCCTAATATTATGCCAAGTTGCCTATAATTTACTGTGAAGAAAGGGCTATAAGTTATTAGGCAGATGATCTTGTTGGCTTTCCAACCCAAGTAGAATTAACATTCTCACATTACAAAGTACATGTTTTTGCAGAAACATATCACAGTTCATTTTTGCACAATAGTTATTTTGTGGATACCATATGTTCTTATACTGTGCCATTGTAAGTGTACCCCAGGAGTCTGTGGGTACTATCATGTTCTTATACTGCTCTGTTTTAACTGTACTGTATTAGGGCCCTTTGTTGCTTGAAGCTGTTTCAGTATGAAGAAGCCAAAAAAGATTGTGATTATGTTCTTCAGACAGATGATTCTAATATAAAAGCTTTATACAGAAGAGCTCTAGCAAACAAAGGATTAGAGGTAAGTAAAGAAAGCAGTCTTGGCTGTTAAGTTGTGAATATGCATTTTAATAGCAACAATGTAAGTGTAAGGTATATGTAGAAGCAAATGAGGTATGGTGTAGAAATTCAGGTGTGAATAAATAATCCCAGAATAAAATGTTACTTAAACTGTGGGATGTGGGGTATTCCCCTTGCTTGAACTAGAAATATCAGCATAAATAATATTGTTTTCTGGTTGACCAAAGGTAAGAATGGATATGTATCAAGTGAGCTAGCCACTGGTGTTTGCTGCTGGGTGGTATAGTGGGGTTCGCACCAGTAAGTACTGTAAAACGTTGCCACTTCACTGTCCCGAAAGGTGGAGGTCACGGGGCCACTCTAGTCTCTGAAAGCAACGCCCACATCAAAGCTCTAAGGTCATACAATCCAAGGGCAAGAGGGGAAAGGGGTTCTATAGGAAGCAAGAACCTGGAGCTATATTTGCCAGTCTGCCCGTGAGCCATTTTTTCAACAGATGATGCTTGTCAGGATCCACCCAGAGGGAAGTCTGGTAGCAATACATAGAATAAGGGCAGCCACTGCTGTTCAGGATGTGAGGACCAAGGCAGAACTAGGTAATGGTATGTTATTTGCCAAGTAAGCCTACCTTGGTTACCCTCTACTCTTAACACTTCCAGTCCAGGATCTGCCCTCCATTGACAGAAGGACTGTGCTCGTGGAAGGTGACTTTACCTGATTTTTATGAGCCCCCTGCCCCTACACAACAGCTCACCCTATAGAACAGCGTACCAAAACCTTCTTTTCAACATTTTCAGGGAAGGGCTACTTTAGGAGAAAGAGTTGGTGGAAAAACTCTTCCACCAGCAATTGCATACACCTAAATCAGGAATCATCATGGCCCAGTAGTGACAATAGCATGAATGAGTACCAGAAAAGATCTTCTTGCAGTATATGTCTTGTAATTTCATGATGTAGTGCATTAAGTTACCACCTTCAACAAATCTGTTACAAATCGAAAGGCTAGAGCACCTTAGTGGATACCAAGAAAGGTGTCCAGGATGCCTACCTTGAATGTAAGTTCCTGCTGTGAGTCATTAGAATTGGAGAAATCAACCTTGCTTAGCTGCAATGTGTCTCTTCTGGTTCTTGCTGATTCCTCTAATAAATTACTGTTCCAACCTTGGTTTTATTTCAGTTTTTATCCTGTGGCACTCCTTCCGGACCACTGCCTAAGTCAAATGAGTCCTACCTCATAATGTCGCCACTGGCCTGGGCGGGGGACAGAAGTATCCATTTCTTCACTCACACCTGACAGCCAGAAACCTGGCTAGCAACATGTTGCCCCTCCAAGTGATGAATTCCTGTTAACCTATTAACTGCATTGCTGAATTCAGCTACTAATTTAACACTCAGGAAACATTTGTACAGTCAGTCATCTTAGCCAAATTTCTTATTTGTGATTGCATTTATTTTTGAGTATTTGTAAGTATTAAGAACTTTCAAAAGTATTCCATTTTTCAAACCCAGTAATTTATTTTTCTAAATTGCAGAACTACAAAGACAGTATTGATGATTTGAAAAAGGTTCTTCTAATAGATCCAAGTATTGATGAAGCAAAGAAAGAGCTGCAGGAAACAACTCAGTTGCTTAAGCTCAAACATGAAGTTACAGAGAATACACAGCAAAAACAAAGGAAAAAAATCAAAATTGAAGAGGTATTTCATTTAAAATATGCACAGGATCCTAACAGTCTGAGACTCAGTGTTCCTAATGAAATTGCTAAATTATATTCTGAGCTGTTGTAATAACTGTCAGAGACTTTTGATTAGCTAACTCTGCTTTCAGGGTGTGTTAAATATAGATCTCTTTCTTACATGCAACCAGCAGTAAGGGACTTGCTTCCATGTGTAGGAGATCCAACCTGCAGCAAAATGCTGGTGATGAACATGACTTGGGTTCCATTACTTAGGCCAGTCACATAGGTCTTTTCCATAGGATTTTAACCTCGCTGAATTTACTGTAATTAACTGAATCACCTTACAATTGACCTCTTCCATTTATTCAGCTGTGAACTGCACATTTGAACAGGATAAGCCATTGAACTTAAAATGCTAGAGGGTATGGTGGGGTCCAGGACAGAATGCATTACATTTTAAGTATTACTCTGACGGTTATCAGAATTTCTTGTGGACTGTGTTCTTAAAACTGTTACGAAGAGTTGTGTGCTTCATACATAAATTAAACCCACCTGGATGTTTATGTTATTTCTTTGTGCAGGTGGCTGAATGTGATGACGAAGATGGAGAGATCTGTGCTTCAACGAATGCTTCAGTAAATTGCCACAGTGTTAAAGGAGAGCTTGAAACAAGCATGCCAGTGAATAGCTCAGCAAAACTAATAATTTCTAAGCCATCAAATGCTTATGAATTTGGTCAGATTATACGTGTTGTGAATGCCAATAAGGACATCTCTGCTTGTGCAGAGCTCTTAACAATGATTGAGCCAAAAGATTTGCCAATACTTCTAAGTAACAAACTAGAAGGGGATATTTTTCTAATTTTTATCCAAGCCCTGCAATCTGATATATTTTGTCAGGACCCTGGTCGAGTGTATCAGTATCTTGTCCACCTGAGCAAAGCTGAAAGGTTTAAGGTGAGCAACTAGTGTCTGTAATATAAATTCTTTCTGAAAGTATGTATCTTAAATGAAATGCTTTTTAAGTCAAGCATTGACTAGCATCTAGACAATTATCATTTGTAATTGTTAACTATCTTATTTTTTTTTCCTTTTTCAGTTGGTGTGCAAACTTCTTAGTAAGAATGAAGTGGAACTGGTTCAACAGTTGTTTGAGTCTCTTTCCAAAGAGCAAAACCAGCCATTTTCTTTAGATGATCTGGAGAGCCTTAAGAGAGAGTTTGATGTTTAAACAACTTCATTTTGGAACTGCCTCTTGCATGCATTCTGTCGATGCTTGTAGGATGGGCATATAAACTATGCAGACTTGCATGGAATCAAGTTAGTCTTTTATCTGGACTATTTGATATGCTGCACATTTTTACATGCACATTGAAAAGCTGCTGTTCCATCTTATTGTATATATTTTATCCTACAGAGTATGTATGTATGAATTTATGTTAATGATCCTGTTCAATCACTACTTGGCTCCTGTTATACCAGGAGAAATATTGGAAGCAGGATTACTCGGAGAGAGAGAAATTAATATAATGGGAAAAACTTGAGCTTGTGTGAAAAAGGAAACCCATGAGCGAACAAGGAAGTGGTCCTCAAGGCCAAGTGGCAAGTGAACAAGAGGACCCAAAAATGTAGGTCCCATGACATAGCTTACTGATCTAATCATCAGAATATGCTCAACTACCTTGAAATGTATTTATGAAGTTCTATATAGCCATCCATTTACTAAATATTTTCATTATATTGCTTCTTGTTTGTTTTGTTATACTGGTCTCTTCTAAAGATGCTACTGTTCGGACATGTGCTTCTAAGTGTGCAACTGTTGTGTTTTGACATGTAGCATAATTGATGGATAGTGTCTTCTCTGTAAGCCCCAGGAACTGACTAGGAATTGTCTCTCTCTCTCTCTCTCAGTGGGGCTTGTACTAAACAGCACTTCCACCAGTGCATTGTGCCTATACTTTTCACTTTTCCTGCTTGGTAAAATGGCTACTGCGTGTATAACCTAAACTGTAGTACACCTGAAATCAGCCTTTGTTTTAATCTGCCCCTGGTCTACCTAGGCAGACGAACATCTGGCTTCCACTGAGCATGGCTTTAAAGGAAATATTGACTCATCCCTTCTCATCCTGTGTCAGTGCTAGAAACTTAAATAGGTGCAGTTATATGCTTATGGTGCTGAATGTGTACAACTACATCAACCTTTTGGTCATAGGTTGCAACGAGGGGCAGTTTGATCTTCATTGCTGCTTCTGGCTAAAAAAGTAAAATACTTTTATACAGGTTCTGTTCTGTTGGTGAATAGCGAAGATAAAGCAGAATTGGTCATGATGTTTTGAAGCAATAGAACTATTATATTTTTAAACCGGAGACTTGTAATTTATTAGCGTGCATATCAAATTTTCTTATGGGAAGGGCTGCCCAGGTTCTTGCACTATTTTAAAGGTAGTCTTATTTGTCACTGACTTTCTTGTATTAAATGCTGTAACTGAAACGTTATTATATAGGTTAACAGCTTGCCCACTTGAAATTGTTTCCTTTGGAAAGCCTTTGCAACAAGTATTTAAAAAATAAAGAGGTCGGCGATACTTGTGATTCTTCCTTTTCACTGCTATAGTAGACTGAGGTAACTTTACTATGCTTTTTCTAATGCTGAACGTGCAGGAATTTAAAACCAGTGATTAAGATCACAGTTGTATGGATTGTGCCCTTGATGTTTGTAAGCCCCTGAACTTGGAGGTCTATGAGCATTCCATTGTAGAGCAGAGGTAGGGATTAACAGTGGGAGCAGCACAAGGTAAGTATATGGATTGAGTTCAGGAATAATACTCATGAGTTATTTATATGGTTCGTGACTTACAACTCTGTCAATACTTGACTACACTAAGGACAGAGAAGACACTTTATACCATGATTTTATAAATACAATTTTACAGTTTTATTTTTTAAGGTATTTTAGAACTCTTATATCAGTGTTCAAGGAAAGAGTTATTTATTTAAAACTTTTGTAGACTGCCCCATTACTGAAATCTTGGGATGGTTTAACAATACAAAATGTAAAAAAAAAAAAATTAAACACAGCATCCTAAAATTTTGCTAATAATAGAACCCCAATTAAAGCAGTCATGTCTTAAAACATTGGGAAAATAAATAGGTTTTGGCCTGGTACTGAAAAGAGTAAAGTGACAGTGCCAGGTGAACCTCTCTGAGGAGCGAATTCCACAACTGGGGTGCCACCACAGAGAAGGCCCTTCTCGGGGTAGTCACCCTCCTAATCTCCTTCAGGGAGGGCACCTAGGGAAGGGCGTCTGCCCCAGATCTTAAGGGGTGGGCAGGCATATATGGAAGGAGATGCTCCTTCAGGTACCCAGGCCCTAAGCTGTTTAGTGGCTGTTATTGATCCTGAGCTACAAATTTATTCAAAGCCAGAGCAGCACTCCCTCATAATCTTTCAGTAAGTATAATGGTTACAGTTTAAGGAACCCAATTTGCATGTTTTGCTCCCACTGCCTGGAATGCTAACAGCTTTACATTAAAATGCTTCAATAGTTCATTTAGAATTAGAGTGTGCTTTTACTCATCCCTTGATATCTTGTTCATTTTCATCTTAAAATGAATTAACCTTGCACTGGTCATCTGATATTCCAAGTTGTGATGTTCAGTGAAAACCAGCCATGTCCTCTCTTCTTGGATTTGTATTTCCTGAATAACCGTAACATCTGGATGTATACATTCAAGAAAAACAGTCTTATGGCACCTCAACAGACTAATAAATTTATTAAAGCATAACTTTGTTAGCCTCTGAGCTTCCACAAAACTCCATTGTTTTTAGTGAAATGGACTAAACTGTGTACCCCTCTGGAAATTATTATAAAACCCACCTATGAATAGAAAGTTTTCACTATAAAGAATTTCTACAAGAAATAGTTCAAGGAGTTACCCAACTCTGTTTCAGTTCAGTGTTTTCTTCTGACACAATCACACAGAGATCAGTTAAGGAAAGAGGTTGTTTCCCTTTCATGTCCAGCATTCAGTTCCTTGTGTACCTCTGGGATACCTATGAATACAGTAACACCTCCCATTTATGCTCCCCAGAATGTGGCAAGCATGCATACCACCCTCACTAAAATATAGCAATAATATAATTTTATTACATGTTATATAGGCAATGTATTAAGTCCCAAACTAGTAGCCATGGAAAGCCTTATTCTTTTTCTAATCCTTTGGTGTTCATTACAGCATTTTGTGGCAGTATAATTTCACAATGTATGAAGTACAAGTCTGTTTTATCTTACTAGAGTAACAAGTATCAGCATAACAGCTGAACATTATTCCATAGCATGTTCAAGACTGATCATTCAGCTTTCAAATAGTAGGATCAGAATTTTTGGAAAAACAGCAATAGCTAGCCTATTTGAATACTGCTTTTCACCTTCTAGTAAAACAGAATGAAAGATGGGCTGTTGCATGTTACAAAACCCTATACCAGGGGTCTCAAACTCAACTTACCTGGGGGCCTCTGGAAGTAGAGTCTGGGTGAGGCTGGGCCACATCAAGTATTCCACCACTGCGGTGGTGGTGGGCCACTCATCCTGCGGCCGGCCCGGGCGCCGCCAGCACTTTGAAGGCCGCAGGGCCCCTCCCCGTGCCCCGCCTGTCCCGGCAATTGGCCCGCGGGTTTGAGACCCCTGCCCTATACCATGTGCAGAAAGTTACTAATGTACGTAGTGTTGCACACTATTTTATTGTGGCATGTTGTATACACATGCAGCAATTACCAGACTGTTATATATAACATACGAGTAGGGAACTGCAAGTATATGCTCATGCCCCAAAAGGAGCTGTGTCATGTGAATAGCTTTCTAATTCTTGTATCAACACAGAAAAGCATCAGAACTTTCACAGATGCCAAAGCAGGTGGTTTTAGATAGTCATTAATATCTCAATATTCAGCATAACTCATTTCCTTGAGGTAATGTGTTTTGTCCTCACATTAGTACTAATGTGAGGCTAATCTTTGCATAATATATAAAAATAGAAACTAAATGTACATTTAGAGAACTTAATTGATGTTGTCAACACATCTGGATGCCAGAGAGTATGCATGCATCCTTGTTCCTAGAACTACTCTGTTCCACTTAGCTATTTACCTCTCACAGAGGTAGTATGTCCACCTTGCGGAATGTTGAAAGAGTCAACTTTACTTCTAGTTCCGGTAAAGGACCAGCAGCATGAACTTTACTTTGACAGACTGGAAGACAATGGCTCTGGGGAGAAGTAGTAAACTATTATGCTCTTATAAAGAGGGGAACAGAGCAAAAAACCTAAATATCAGAATCCTACACTATATAAATCAACCCTAGATTATACTGATTTGTCATTTCAAGGAGGATTTCTCAGAACACCCATTTTAATTTTATGACTATAAAATACAAGCATTGGAAGTGCTACATCTTCATAATTATTTTTAAAAATCCAGATAAACTTCAAAACTCTGCACACTCCAAAGAAAATGCTGTAACTCCTTACATTTAGTCAGGTGTGGCGTTCGAAGAGCATGCATGAACTGTTTCCTATCTTGACAGCAGCTTCTTCCCTAGGCTGGATCCTGCAGTCACATACAAGTTTAAGTGAGCAAACCAGGTTATGGAATTTTTAAAAATAACATCTACATATTATGCAACTGGTTGTATAAAGAGTTTCCTTCTCTTTCACTCTTTGTGTAGTCACTTTTATTACATGCGGCAGTTGTAATTTTCAGTAACAGCATTGTCAAATCAGACTACAATATTGTTTCCAATAATGGTCAACCAACTACTTACAAGCATAGCAAAAAATCTCATGTTTGTTTCCAGTGGCTAGCTTTCAATTGTATACCAGTTCTGAACAGAAGCTTTCTTTAGTTTGTGTACTCTCTCATCACACTTCAGTGCCTTAACTTTCACAATGAAATCAGTAAATACTGAATTAAAAGTGATCAACTTTGGCTAGACTGTACCTATAGCTTATGTTGTTCAATTCTGCAGTTTATTGCAGAAACAGTAAAATCAAACATTTAACTGTAGATAAACTAGGTAATGAAATAAAAATTGATTTTTAAAATGCTAAATTAATGCATGATTTTAATTATCCTTGATCAGGCAAAGATTTGCATGGTTTCAGTTATAGCACATGGTTCTCTTTTATGCAATATAATAAATTAGTCAATAATTAGTGCTGATAAGACTAGAAAAAGTTCAGAACAGAGTCTGAAGACTGTTACTACGTAACAGGATACAGAGATCTGACAACTGTCATAGATAAATATGCAATGTATTCAGATGTTCAACTATGCCTAATTAACCATTTTTCCTGCATTAACAGTGATGGCTACCCATAACATTCCTATATTTAGATTTAACAATGATATTGCTATTACGAATAATGCAGTATTATTGCCCAGTGTAGTCCAGAGCTAAGTTTTCAGCACTGGGAAAGACTGTAGGTATATTTAGTTTAAGAGAGATCCTATGGACTCTAGATAGTATCTGGGGGGTGGGGCATAGGGTACTTCAGATTCCCAGACTGAAGGTCAGACAGAGCTGCAGCCTTGGAACTGAGAAGCCAGTCTCCAGCCCCTTCACAGATAGTAAAGAAACAACCATGCTGGCTGCTTCTCCAGTGTTGGTAAGCTTGCCTTTGAGAGTGGGGTAAGGTGACATCTAGGGGCAAAAAAGGGGAGGAGGCTGGAGGAACCAGTTTGCAATGTATCCTGTACATTCTGCCGCCTCCTTCCCACCATCTCTGAAGCACCTCAGCTAGATCACTGAGAATGGCCATTTCGTAGAAATGCCTCTATCATCCCTCCCACTCCCTCTGAATAAGATCCTTGTAAACCTCCCAAGTCCAGAGGCCTGCTAGCATCGAGTCCCCGACCCATAGGACACATTGTGATAGCTACAGCCAGACATTTACTACATGGTTGCTGCTTTTGCTTGCTACAATGAGTGTACAACTCTGAGAGAAGCTACTTGTCTTTAGTAGCTAGAAATATGGTAAGGAAATATTTACTGCCTTCCATTTCCTTAGACACCTGATATACGGTAGAGTGGCATCCAGGTAGAAAATGTGCAAATTGGTCTTGAACATCTAGCTGGAGCTAGCTTTGAAGTTCTCCCTACAATTCCTTAAAAGGCAATTTCCCAGAGTTTAAAAAGCAGTTTGTTACTCTGGATATGGGCGCAAAGGAATCTCTAAGTCTGTATTGTGTCTACAACTGAGTAAAAATTACTTCTAACAGCACTGTAATACATAGAAACATAAGATACACAATAGTCCTGAACAATACAGAATTGCTTCCATAATTAGGATTTCTCAAGTGTTATTTAAATTAAGACTACTTCAATGAGTAATATACCTAGGAAAACAGATTTTCATTTCAAATTTTACTTTGCATTTATGCCATTGATTCATTAATTGCAATATTCAAAACTATCTTTTTATTGAAGCTGACAACTTCATTTATTAACTTTAATTTATTGTTGTAAGCTGCCCCGAGGCTTCGGCGAATGGGGCGGCATAAAAATGTTTTAATAAATAA